TTTCCTTCTCAATTAATTAACAGTATCCAACTTTTAGAATCTGGGAGTCCCCCAGAGAAATGTTTCGATCTCAAGGTCGAACTGGTAATGAAATGGAATAAATAGTTACTTGCCGGAATCCAACATGGGTCCATGATATTAGGAGCACAGTGCCTTACTTAGTCACTGAAATATACCACTCTTTGAAAGAATATATTTCTTCTACAGCTAGAGAAGTTTCGGGTTTCTGAGAATTGGTAAAACGACATACAATACTCAAATAATTTCAACTGTTTTACTACTATTTCATTTATAATTTCTATATTATTTTTAGTCATACCGGGTTTAAGGGTTTAAGCTTAAATTATCAAAATTAATAGTTCGGATGCGTGCTACGAAGAAAATAGTAAAATTACAAATGTAAACATCTGTAATTTTTACCGAATGGACCTAACACGTTTACAGTAGGGGAATAGACTAGTCAGTAATATACTTTGCTTCTGTGTTCTGTGTCTCAGGTTCTAGGCCATCTGTGGTAAAGAATTATTTCTTCTGTTAAATCAACCGTGGTTCAATTCTGGAAGATTCTCCTGGCCCCAACAAGCCTCTATAAAGAGGGTACGTTTAATTAAATACTTAAATAAGGAGAAAAATCTGGAGTTGAGTGTAATGTCGGTCAAATCACCTCCTTGCAGCAGAGTTGACCAAGAAAAAGTACTTGCTTACAAGGTACTGAGCCCAGAATCTAATTGGGTTTAGTGATTTTTTGGCTTTTAAAGAATTATGAAAATGATCATAGATAATATCGATAGCCGTCAGTATGTCGATATCGTTGAAATTTAGTATAATAAGAACAATAGAACTACCTCTAACTCTAAGAAACGCATATAATTGTCATAAGGAACACGCGAAATATGGTTTCGTAATATCAGTCATGTGAATCCCTAAAACACTCTAGACCAGCTGGATACATCACGTAATTGATAAAATATATGTGTCGCCTATTTCCAAAGGTTAACCTAATTAATTATTTGACAATTTTTTATAACCGCGAAAACTGTAAGATAAAAATCAGAAAAATAAGATTTTTCTTATTTAAAGCATATATTTCAGAAAAAAATAGATCATTTTAATGGTACTTAAAAACATTAAAAAAACTTAAATTAGACCGCTTTTGAAAAATAATGTTTGATTGAGATTCGGTATGTAAAGAATAAATGGTATGTGATTAGGAGGGGGGAGGAGGAGAAGAAAGGATAAGGAGGAGGGAATGTTATAAAAATGTATCTTTTCAATTACAATAATTTTACAATAAAATAAAAAATCCATTCGAATATATTAGTGTAAAAAGCTTTTGGAATTGTTTTTAAATACTTAAAAGAAACACGTGAAAGTCGAAACAAGTGAAGGGGTGGTACAGACCTCTATTAATCGAATTATTAAGATCCGGCTAAAACTTAGTAAATAGCTTATTCTCATCGTAACCTACAAATATTTTATTTAGGAAAATTTTCGGAATGGGGGCTATTAAATCTAGTAATCGGCAAACTTTCTTTATTTAATTAGGTAAAAAAACTCGTAAATACCCATTTGCTTTCCATTTGAATCTTAAGATAACTTGAGCACAAAGTCAAGAAAAAAAGTGGCCTTCAAAAATATTGAGCCGTTTGGCGTAACCTCCATTTCCAAATTGTCAATAACGATGTTATCTAGGCCAAACGTCTCAATACTTTTGAAGGCCACCTTTTTTATCCATTTTGTCAAATTATCTTACGATCCAAGTGGCAGGCAAATATGTATTTACGATTTTTATTACCTAATTAAATAAACAAAGTTTGCTCACCGCCAGATTGAAAACGCCCCAATTCCAAGAATTTTCGTAAATATAATATTTGTAGGTTACGATGATATGAAGCTATTTACGATGTTTCAGCAGGATGTTAATAATATAATAAAAAGAGGTCTGTTCCACGGTTAATAAGAGATAAGCGACGCTTTTCGAAAGGTAATAGCTAAATGGCGACAAAGCAAAAGTATTATTTTTATATAGCTCCTGATCGCTAAAAAAATTATCATTTCTGTAGGATATATTAGTATGATAACTACTTATAGCAGTTTCAGACTACAAAATAGCACAAAGACAATAAAAATAGACAATTTTTACATACGACCTTTTGCACTAACAGTAGAAATACATATCAGTTTTCTATTACGGAATAGATCAAACTAGGATATTCTTACATCCTAAACAAAATTAAAAAAAATATATATGTACTTGAAACTTGAAGTTGAGCAATAATATTAAATGACAAGAAAAGAGTGAATTATTGTGTCAGAATAGAACCTAAGAAACACGATGTTTCGAGTTAAACAGTTATCATCGAGTTACTGACAAATATATAAATCAATAAAGGAAGGAATGCCGCTGAGCACTCCTATCCATCAAGCCTATCGATACTTTACTTCATATTCTACTTCTTGATAGCAAATTCACAAGTTATCAGTATTTCTGACAGATGAGAATAGAAAATTTAAGTTTAAAAACAAAATTAAGATTACACAAATTATTTTTCTTTTTTATATCAAATGATATTGTTTCTTATAATAACAGAATTTTTAACATTTTACCAAGGCTCAATTATATATTAATAAATTTCATTTTCCTTAAGTTAAGTTATGAAAAAATAAAAAGAATAAGGTAAATCTTTTCAACATAAATGGGGAGGAAAATACTTTATTTATTCAGTTACGCAGCTAAAATAAGTTATATAAATAATATTGTAACGAAATATCAGAAAAGGACATTTTTAAAAAAAAATCATGTTAAAAATTAAATTATCATTAAAATTATGTACTGTACCAAGCTAGATAATATATAAAAAATTGTCTTTCAACTTCAAGATTGTGTAAAAGTTGAGACGTTATATGATGGATTTTAAATCATCAAAATTTATTATGAAATACCTAATATAAAAAATGCCTTGAGGCTTCAGGTAAGGATTGAAAAAAGAGAACGAAAATGAAGAGAAAGAAAAAGAATAGTGATCTGAGAAAACAGAACAAAGGTATATACAAGGATATATACATTCAGTTCTAGTTGCAACAACATCTAAATTGAGCTCCTCTCAGTAAAAAGAGTATATTTATTTATTACATAAATCATAATTATAAGATAAATTCACAATAAATAGTTTTTTACATGAGGATGCTATCTTTTGAAAAAGACAACATTTAAAGCAGTTATTTCACACTGAAATTGTTTATTATTAAATTATTCCTCCATATGATTTTTCCCAACATGTGTTTTTTATTCTAAATAGACAAGTACTTTCTTCAAGTGGAATTCAAATTGATTTAAGAGAAGCACAAACAACTTTCTATATCCTCCAAGGGAAAATATTTTTTCCTATTAAATGTATCATCTATTATTTCCAGTTCTGAAATGAGTTTAGTTGTGTGAAAAAGTTTTTTTCCTGAATTATTTATTCATATGATTTTTGTCTGTTCTACCGATTTCCATTTATAACATATACCATGCCTTCTAGGTTTGAATTGCACGTTCTTCTATTTTTATTGAAATATTTTCTGTTACAATTATATGATCTTATCCTATTTTCTAAGGTGAGTTTTCTATCATTATCTAAATCACTATGTGTTTTATTCTGTTCTAATGCTTATGGTAAACGATCAGTATATTTTTCTTGTAATAAATATTTTTTGAGAAAATCCCGTTTCAATGCACTTTTCAGTACATTTATAAGCTATTGCGGTCCGAATCATTTTATTTTATTAGTTAGCACATTTAGCCTTTCATTGAGAAAATTGGAAAACGGTGCATTCACTGAAGTAAAGATGATGGGTATGATTTCTTTATCTAAAAGTTTTCAAATCCCTTGAATTTATATCTGGATATTGATCCCATCAATATTTGTTTCAGTTAATAAATATCCAATAATAGCATCCCAAATCTCCAATCACACCTCACAAACCTCGAAGAATTTTGTAAAAATTGGAGGATTAAAATAAATTCCAATAAATCCAGTCAAATCACCTTTATCCTTCGTCGTAAACACATGCCTTCCTGTCCTACAGTGTCCTTAAATAAAAACCCGCTTATCCTTGTTGAACAAACCCTATACCTTGGACTCCACTTGGACAAACCTCTAACTTGGAATCCTCATACCAGAATTAAACGACAAGAAACCGCTCAACGTTTCCGACTACTCCAACACTTGCTAGACAAATGCTCTAAGCTTTCAGTTAATTACAAAAGACTCATTTACCTTACTACAATAAGACCTATTTGGACTTATGGGATGGAGCTTTGGGACTCTACTAAACCATCGAATTCCTCTCGTATCCAATCCTTACAATCCAAAATCCTTCGTAAAATCCTCAACGCTTCTTACTTTGTCACAAATAAAATCATGCATAAAGACCTTAATGTTCCATATGTTTCCGATTTGGCCCAATCCAGATACATATCCTTCCATAATAAACTGCAGAACCATCCGAACCCTCTCGTTTCTAACCTTGCTTCCTCCTTGATCCCTGATAAACCTCCGAGGCGAAAAGATGATATCCTCGAGATTGTAAATACATTTTTTATAGTGCTATCAGTGGGTAGTTTCTCAACAAGTGTTTTCATGTTTTAATTTTTTGTTATCAGATTTACTGAATGTATTTTTTCTTAATACAATTGTAAATATTATAAAAAAAAGTATGCTGCAATACTATACTTTTTTTTTATATCACAGTTTGAATATAACCTTCCTATTATTTTTCCATATGATCTTTTTTCCCATATGTTTTTTTTTTAATTGGAAACAGACATGCACTTCAAATGAAATTCAAATTAATTTAAAATAAGTAAGACGAGTTCTCTTATCAAATATATATACATATATATTTATATGTATATAGAAATATTTTTATATGCATAATTGGTAGTGACTAATTTTGTTAAATTATTGTTTTCTTTGAATGGAAGCCAGGTGATTGAGGAGATCTCATAAACGTTGGTTTAAGAATATTTTATTAATAAAAATACATTACAGACAATTTTTTTTTTTTTCACTACATGTATATGGATGGATATCTGTGTATTCAGAAATCAAGTACTTAAGAGACAGAAACGGTTTCGCTTCCTTTTAAAACGGAACTAACCAAGAAACCCTCACAACACCTCAGACATTGATTCATGATGGTTTGGAATGGTTTCTCGCCTCTTGTGTAAAACGGATCTTCTATAAAAACCTCCCCTAGGGGGTCGTACGCGCCTAGAAGCCCTCGCTTCGCCGTGGAACTTGGAGGAGCCATCCTCTCCAGATGTCGAAGGTCGTCATCGTCCATGGCCAGGATGTGGTCGAAGCGGTGGAAGTCTTCGTCGTTCACCTGCCGCGCCTTCCGCTGGATCGGAAATTTCCATAACTGGAGGATCTTGATAGCCCTCGGGTCTGGATCGCGGCCGATGTACCACGTCCCCACTCCAGCACTGTCCACTCGCCACTTATCCTCCAAGGATATCTTCGCTAACATGTTCTTGAAAATCGCTTCGGCCATCGGGGAGCGGCAGATGTTCCCGAAGCCGACGAAGAGTACGCTGCTACTTAGAGAAGCCAGTAACTGCTTTTTAGTCAATACCATCAAGTGATCCATTTCTATTTCTGAGTTTCGAATAGTGTATATGAGAATGATTAATTTACTGATCTGTGTAGAATTTTAGTCACGTCTATGATTGACTTTCTCTAACATATGAAATTTTATTATGTTTTCAAGAACACGAAAAACTGTAAATAAATTCATCGAATAGAAGTTGGTTAGAATTTTCGGTCAGTGAATATACGAAGTGAAAAAAAATAAATTATATTTATTTTTATTTTCTTTGTGCCGATGTTTGAGCCCAAATTTCAGGCCTCCATCAGGACTGAACTAACACAAAATAACATATAACCAGTAGGCCCCTGCGAAAAATTCGCAAATGTTATCAAATTCCAAATTAATAAGAAAAGGAAATAATGCAACGTATCAAAAGATAAAGAATTCAATTGTTACTTTATCGATAAATATAATCGTCAAACGAAACAAAAATTAATTTAAATCTTCATTTTTGTTTGGAACCAACATATTTACAAATTTCAATAAACTGTATCCTTGCTAAAAAATTTTCGATTTCGACGATAATTTTTTCTTTTTGTAAGGAATTAAGTAATATCTTATATTAGCATGGCCATAATCAAGGGAAAAGTGTGTAATTTTTTAGTTATTCGCAAATAAAGTTTCTTTTCTTTCATGATTCGTTTGCCTGAATTTCGGGGTGGACTATTTTGCCCGCCTGACGGAGAAGGAAGCCTTTGAAATTGGTGGTTCGATCTTGAGATTTGGGGAAGAATTAACGATGATATGGCTTGCCGATCAAAAACAATATCGATAATTAATATAAACTCCTCCTGTCTCGATCATATAGACCTCAAGTCGACGAAATGAGACATGTATTTAATGAGAGTACTAAAATTAACATAAGGTTGTGTGGATGCGAACCCTATGCCTTGCGTTATCTCGAAAATAGTACGTTTTTGGGCTTAAAACGCAGAATGTACACATCAAAATCTTCAAGGTCCAATTTGTCCCGCATCGATCTACAGACCTAACTCCGTTCCAGTATTGAAGCCTAGAAAAATGTTTGTATCGACTTTATTTATTTTAAAAAGAAAAACAAAAGTAGAGAATACGATACGCTAATCCCCCGTGAAATTTTGAATCCAACGGTAACCCGTTCATGGCATTTGAACATGACAGGAGTTTATATTTGGTACAAAACCGATTTATACCCTTGCTGTAATAATAAATGTGGGAATGGGAATTAATGAGAAACTATAAGACAGTTATAGTAATAATATGTAGGTAAAAGGTATAGTCTAATAACATGTAGGTATTATACACTTAACATTTTAGATGATGACAAATAGATGATATATTAATTACTGAATTATAAAGTAACGGTAACAAAGTTAGAGAATTATGAATTGATGGAACCAACTTAAAATAAATTTAAGTCAAAGAAGTTATAATATACATATGATAAATTGATGAAATAAACAACAATAAAATAACGGTAACAACATAATGAAATTAACAAATCATCGATAAACAACGTATAAAATAATTGTATGATACATACAATTTGTGAAGTTTTGAAGTAACTGCAACAATATTCTCAGTCAGCTACATTCTCCAAGAGTGTCTTTATTACAAATGAATTCTAACTAAATTAAGACTTATACTAAAATTATCAGTTCTTTTAAATAATGATTAAGTAAAATTTTTCTTAAAGCTGATGATTTATTAAACAAAATTTAAATCTCATTTTTTCCCAAAATAATTTATTATTGAAATAATTGAAATGAAGATTAGATAGGCGTTGATGATCTCGGGATTTTACGTCTCTAAAGCCTTACATAACAAAAACAGCAAAAATTTCTGAAGTAAAAGAACACATTTAGGAAGTTAAACATTAAAGGTAATAAAGTAAATAATAATAAAATAACTGTAACGACTTAATGAATTCACTAAAAACCTAATGAACTAAGATACAAATCGTAATTGGTAAAAATATTATAAATAGGCGTAGTTTATATAGGTCGATGCCTTCAAATGTTAAGAGGAAATGAGATAAACATTGAATAAATTATATATTGATACGATTTTTTGCTTTGTTAAAATGTTATGATTTATTCTGGATTTGAACTAAAATATATATTCTTCTTTCACTTCCAAACTCTTTGGTACCATTTAGTTCAAAATTTTTCACCAAAAACAATTCTTGAAAAACCTCCAACGGGCTGAGTAGAAGATGGCTTAGAGATCTCCTAAATTAATACAATCGCTGTCTTTCCTGTGGGGTACCTCTTACAGTAAACCATATCCTAACCGAATGTTATCCAATCCAATCTTCTAGGGATCAACATCTTCTCAGAAATAGGCTTGAAGAATCACTCCAAAAGGACCGCAATGCTATTAAAAACTTAATATAGTTCCTTAAGGAAATCAAAATATTTAACAAAATTTAATCACATCTTGTAATTGTAAATGTTTAGTTTTTTAAGTTTGTAGGATCCTCTTCAAATTGTAAATATACCTGTTATTTTTATTCTTTTAATCACAATTTATAACTATAATGGTTTTTCAGTTTTTCTTCTAGTAATGTTTAATGTTTAAATTGTACTTTATAACATTTCTTCTTTTAATATTAATTTTATTTTTTAAACCGTATTTTTAGATTATATTCCTGAAATCATTAACCTCTTATTTAAATTGTTGACTGTTAACTTATCTTTTTCTAATCTTTAATGTTTAATTTTAATGGTCCTTGTAATTTTTAATATTTACACCGTATTCTTTAACTTCGCCTCTAATAATATTAATTTTTATTATTTAAAAATGTATTTTTTAACTTTTATTCTTAATATCATTAATCTTTATTTTTATTGTCTATGTTATCTTATCTTCCATTAAATCTTTAACTTTTAATTTTTATAATTAAAGTTCAATTGTACTACCATAATCATCTGTAATTATTCTAAACTTTTCAAACTTTAAATGGTATTTGTTATCTGTAGTTTTGTTATGTATACCTATGTAGTAATTCACCAAATTGTAATAGAGGGCGAAAATGACCTAGGTGGTTGAAGAGCCCAAAACATGTATAAATAAAAAATAAATACAATCACTGAAGTCCACTCAATGGCTAATTTTTCACAAGCTCCTGCTATCACGTTCTTCTTCTCATAAAAGAATCATTTGTTGCGTTTTATTTATACAGTTGTATATTTCAATAAATTAACGAAAAAATCAGATGTAATAATATAACATATTATTACGATATATTATATGATATATACCAAAAGAAATACCAGGCTGTTGTAGATGTCGGAAGATATCTAGAAGGTGCTGAGTACCCATTGAAGATACTGGTGCTAGGCAGACAGCAGAGATAAAAATGTGTTATCTCAGGTGCTAGTGATTAATAATGCCTGAATGAGAGGGTTTCGATTTATTTCTTATTCAGTTGGGTACAAAGAAACGTCACGAACTCGTCGTATCACAAAGGATAACATGACTTCATTTTTCGACTGACGTATTCGAAAAACATAAACATATTCTAGGTACAAATATTTATTAAAAAATATAGTTCGCGCTACACACAACTTTCACTAACCACTCTACTTTGAATAGAATTTTTTTTCTAGCAATGTTGGGTTATTATAAAATTTTAGAAGTGCATTTTAAACGGAGCTATAACTTAAAGCTTACAGGTAACAAATCATTAGGACGATTAAAATTACAAAAAGTCTATTAAGTACATCGAAGGTAGACAATAAAAATTTAGTTACTCAATCTGTTTTTAAAAAACTTTAAAATTTTTTTTTGAGCAGTCATTTTAGTGATTTTTTTTTAACCCCCCAAAATGTTTATTTAATCAGATTAGCTTCAAACAAGAGACCAAACATTTTATACACACTTATTTCCAAATCAGAATTTAAAATCAGACAAAAACTAAAACCATACACATATGTACTCAAACCCCTATGGATATACGCTTCACAGTTCAGCAAAAAAGACGCACTTACAAAAACTATCATTGACAAAATTATAAAACTAATACCAACAGTTTAATACCCTAGTACGTAAACAACAAAACTCTACTACTATCAACCAACACATATCTACCCTTACTCCGATTTCATTTTAAATTATTAGGACACAGCGACAAACTTATAAAAGACATGGCCATCGAGAAGTGACTGAAAAGGTTCTCGATGAGAGATCTTCTTTCCTGAATTACCGAAGAAATTGATATGGCTTTATCCAAGTTTCCGACGACAATATTTCCTAAGCATACACCTTTAACATTTTTTTTTTATTGGGTAATCCTCTGTTAACCTTTTCTGGCATACTGGGGTGGGGGGAGGGAGAGGGGAATCTCTCCAATCTCTCCAGCAGGATTCGAACCCGCGACGCTAGAAACGAGGATGATAGAACGGGCTACGCACTAATACACTCGGACATTACGACCTCGCAAACACCTTTAACAATCCTTTAAAACGAAAAAGCCTCCTAAATTTTCGATTTATTCACTCCTTGCCCTTCTATTCATTCTTTTAACACGAGATCCCATACCACAAACCTGTAAAAAAAAATTGTATTCTCGAAAATCCTCGAATTTGGGGGGTTTTCAATCTGGAGATCGGCAAAATTTGGATCGGCAACACCCATTTGCTTTCCCTTAGAATCGTAAGATAAGTTGATCACAAAGTCGAAAATAAAGGTGTCAGTAGTTAATAAGGCCTTTTTTTAGAAATATAAAATAACTTTATTCTGGGACAAAATCCTTAGAATATCAAAATAGAACATAATTAAAAGACTACATCTGGCCTTAATAAAAAAGGAGAAAGTAAAGAAAATATTTGTTAAAGAGGCTATATACAAAACACTTAAAACTATGATAAAACACTTAAAACTATGTAAAGTTGGAAAAATTATAATTATATACTTTTGAAAAATAAAATAATAAAATATACATTATTTTTCTTTGAGTTAAGGTGTGTTTCTGCTAACAAAGGAAAGACAAAAGCTGACAATATAAAATGTCAGAGTATTTAAATAATGAATAATATGTAGACACATCATTGTCTAATTCTAGCTATAGGTACAGATTTAATTAGATAAGAATAAAAAATAATAAAAAACAAACAATATATGCATTCAGTAGCTTTAAGAGCAGGAAGATATTGTAATATCCCTAGTGAAGTTTACAGTATAGAATAGTACTATCATTTGACGATGAATGATATAATAGAAATGTATAATATCAAAAGTTTAGCAAGCATCTGACTTTTTTTGGGATAGGAATTGAGATAGGAGGATTTTGAATGTTGATATGGAGGGGGAATGCCGAATATTGGGCCGATTAGCGTGACCTCGACCCTCAACATATCAAAATAACGAGGTTACATAGACAAAACGGCCCAATATTTTGGTAGACTTTTTTTTCTATTTTTTTATCAAATATTCATACGATTTAAGTGGTAAGCAAATGGGTATTTATGAGTTTTTAGTTCCTCATAAAATTAATTGATTGATTGAAAACGCCCCAGAAGTCGTTTCAGGCGGATGTTTATAATTTGATAAAAATAGGTTTGCTCCACGGACTATAGTTTTTAATCTAATATATTTTTTATATAAATAATATTTTAAAACGAAATAAGGCACTGATAATTGTATCTAATCTCGGTACTCAAATAAAGAGCATTCCCAGAAACTGAATGTATGAGCCTCAGATAAGAGCCTAAAAGGTGCCTCATTCAGTCCACCTTCGAGCAGCAGCCATGATACTCTTCGTGTTCGCTTCGCTCTTCGCCCTGGTGATCGCAGGTCCGGACGAAGACACAGCTGATAAGATCCTCTCCGCGTTCATCAAGGACAACGCTGGTAAGGACGTACCCTCGTCGAGTTTCGTCTACGCATACAACGTGAACCTCGGGATCATCACGACTTCCATCGACGTCTCCTTCAACGACGGTCAGCTAAACTTGAAGGGCTTCTCCAGGACAGGGCCCGTGGACAACACAGGAGGTCTTACGTTCACAGCAGAGATCGACGCTAAACTAAACTATGCCTACGACTTTCGATCATCGGTTCCAGCACCTTTCGCTGCTGGAAAGGCAGCTATAGACTGGAAAGCTCCAGTATCCATGAAGGTAGTCATCGACGAGAACAACAGGGCTTCCTTAGACTCCATCAGGCTCTTGAACACTGGAACGTTGATTGGAGACGCTATACCGTACGTCGCAGGAAGATCCGCAACGTTATTTCCCAAACAAGACAGCCCTTTTGCCCGATTGTTATTTCTTCCCATGCAAGGTTACTTAAGAAATACATTTAAAAATATTGCTTATTAATACATTTATCATATTTAATTTATTATTATTATTACTTTTGTAAATTCGACCGTCAGTATTCTATAATAACTAAATAATGTTAATAAAATATTTTCCTACTAAATTTTATTTTATATGGTTTATACCTTTCAATAGATTACTCTTCATTTATTTGCAACATAACATAATTTTAGTAATTATTTATTTATTTAGTGATAATTGGGTCATACGGAACTAAGTACGCTAGAGCTTTATTTAATTTATTATTCGAATTTAATTGCAACAATAACCTATTCCTGTTAAAGTTTGTGTTGTTTTATGTTTTAAAACTTCATAGGTTAGTTCTAATATACATAATACGTATGTTTTTTTCAGATTATATTGTTTAAATATGTCAATATTAACTGGGTTCTTTCAGAATTTGGAACAAATTCATTAAGATTTGTAGGTCTTATGGCTTGTTGAGGTGTGTGTAATGATTGTTTAGTCATTGATTAATAAAAAGAGCCACCATCTATCTCTTCAAAAACAATAGAACTGTCAAAAACATATGGGAAAAAGATCATATGGAAAAATAATAGGAAGGTTATGTTCAAACTGTGTGTAATATAAAACAAAAATATATATAGTATCACAGCATAAAAAACATTGGTGAGATCAATATCCAGTTATAAATTAAAAGGATTTAAAAACTTTTAGATATAGAAAACATACTCATTATTTTCACTTCAGTGAATGTACCATTTTCAAATTTTCTCAATGAAATGCAAAACACGCTAATTAATAAAATAAAAATGGTTCGGACCGCAATAACTTATGAATGTACCAAAAAATGCGATGGAACGGAATTTTTAGCAACGGGATTTCATACAAAATATTTATTAGGAGGAAAACATACTGACTGCTTACTAGAAGATTTAAAACAAAATAAAACACATAATGATTTAGTTAATAATAGAAAACTCGCCTTAGGCAATACGATCACACAATCCTATATATTATTTCTAAAAGGTGTTTTTTTGTCTGTACGCCATAACTCCGTCAATTCTTCATCAAATCCAATGATTCACCACGCATTTTGAAGATATTCTTCTCTTTCATATGCGAAAAATAGTTCTATCCCTCCGAAATTTCTTTATCTAACTCAAAAAGTTTGCATTGTTTTCTGTATTGAATCCATGATAATTAGAAAGATTACTAAATTGCCTACAAAACAAATCGTAAAAATCGGACAATTATTAACAAAGATACAGTCCATTAGTTTTGGTATACTTAATAATGTCTTCCTCTTTAAAGATATTCGATTTAGGAGTAGAATAGTCTACTACAATTTTTTTCCTGGCTGATATATTAACTTTATTATTTCTTAAAGGCATTTGTTTGTTCTGACATATTATTTTTTTTAATAATTTATAAAATCCCATGATGAGGGCATTATTTTGTCTTTATTAATTTTATCATCTTTCCAGTCAGCTTTAAAAATAGGTACTAACAAAGCAATTTGTACAAATATTTTGGTTTATTATGTTAAATAGAAGAATTTTGTATTCGACTAAGAAAAAAAAATTATTTTCTTCCTTGCATAATACATATGAACTACTTATTTCCATACTGTTTTGCTATTTCTACAGTAAATGCGAATTATTCGCTCGGGCCAACAAATCAAACATAATATAATATAATATATATATATATATATATATATATATATATATATATATATATATATATATATATATATATATATATGTATATATATATATATATATATATATATGATTATCAATCTTGGTCTACAGGGATTGATACTTTTATGGAATTATTCCAGCCTCCCACCTAAGATATTTTATTTCTCTCCTCTTCTTAAAAATATACATTTACACTTTCGGTGGTCTGTACTACGCTTTTGTTTTGCCCCCTTGGTTTAAAACTTTTCTATCCGAAAATTCATAACCCTGCCGAAATGTGTCATCCTCAAAAATGTTGATGGTAGATGAATATGGATATGTTTTTTTTTTTTTTTCATTTCAACATTCTCTGTGAAACTATTTAGAGAAAAAATTATAACAAACGTTTTTGTAATAAAGATCTTGGTTTATTATATAAGTTTAATATTTATCTATTACAGTGGTTGAACAAAATTAACTTAAGTTATAAATAAACAGTAACTAGTTTTAGATTACAGATATTCTATCATATTTAATTATCCGATCCTATCTAACCTTTTAAATAAAACTTAGGTAAAACTTTTCCTTGATTAGTTGTGAGGGAAAATAAATTTCCCTACCTCGCCATTCGGCTAAATGGGTTTGGCATTGGTTTTATAAAACAGACAGCAAATACCGTCCCTGCGTGTAAACGATGGTGGCAGAATTATTAGGAGACAAATCAATCGGCAACGGGACTCGAATTCTTCAGTTTCACAGGTTGCATGTTGCAGGTTGCCTAAATATACTATATGCCTTCAATAGTTATTAATCATGATTGTAATTATCTACATCATCGTCTTCATTTTATAGCAGGTTTTCAGGAATAAATCCTTTAATTAACAGATTTAAGTGGGCTGGGCCGATTAGTGTTTTTCACTAGTGTATGAGTGTATGGATATGTGTGTATATATATATATATATATATATATATATATATATATATATATATATATATATATATACAGGCAGTGTATAGTCTTGCTTCACTATAGAGCATGCCTCAATCTACACCTTTTCGGCTAACTCTGAGAAATCAACTAATAAAATGAAACTATTACCTTCAAATAGATAATCATTTTTATTAAAATTGATTAAATAAGTATATACGTTTAAATAGTATGTTATGGTTAAGAGTAAATATATTTAATATATAAATTAACCAGCCATTCCTCACCAAGAAATACAAATTGTTGAAACATAAAATAACGGAACAGTCCCTCTCCTCCAAAATATCGTTGTATATCTCAATGCTTCAGTTTTTAAATTCAGTCCCTTATACCATTCATCACTACAAATATTACTATTTTTCATTTTTTTTTTTCTAAATTCTTCAAAATGTACCTACAAATAATAGCTGCGTTTAAGGAATAAATAAATATTTGCTAACATCATCATTTATTATAGAACACATTATTCGATGTTGTCTTTATATTATCTGTTATTTTATCAGTGTCTTTAATACTTGTTGAAATGCTTTTAACACCATTGAAGCACCAGCATGCATTTGTCAATGATAACACTAAATGTGACCAATATGTATTTTTTGATAAACATTTTGCCTTTTTTTAATCAGTCCCTTAGTTTAAAATTTAATTTTTAGAATTTGTTTATTAAGATAATTTTTTTTCAAAGTTAGAACGATAACTTAAAGTGTTCAATACGTCATCAATCACTACTTACGTCATCAATATCCGATTCGCTGATCATTAGATGAACTATGTAGTAAAGGAAATTATTGCGATCGTGAAATTATCGAATCTTAGTTTTCAACGGAAATACGCGTTTTTAGGTCCCATAGCCTAGCTCAAAATCGAAAAGTCACACGAAACTCATATTACATATTTAAGATAGGTATATGCCTTAGAGGTCACAGCAACGTTTTCTTTAAAATCGGCTTGCCGGAGTGCTCGCATTTCCTTAAAATGCCATTTTATATTAACGATGAAACACATTTATACAATTTCTCAAAAACTGCTCAAACGATTTTGATTAAACTAGGTTTACCGTTGTATAATTAAGTAGTCTTTAATATCATTTAGGTATTATTCCAATCATGTCACTTTACTGGACTTAAATGCCCAATGTTTATATACGTCTTCCTCTAAAGAAACTCTCTTTTATTGACAGTAACTATGAAGTTTGAAAGAATATGATAATTGGAAACTGGAGATAAAAAAATGCTTATCCAGGTCGAAAATGAATCTTCGGAAATAATAGTCAGAAGGTATACGTATAATATATGGTATGTCTGTGTGTGTGTTAAGAGTATAGCTCCAAAACTAAAAGTAGTGCGAAAGTGAAATAGCATATTTGAGGTTTTCATATGCTAAGGATGTTACAACAACGTTTTCGTCAAAATCGGCTGACCGGAATTGGTACTTTTTATAGTGGGCTAAACACTTTTTTACGATTTTTTTTCAAAAATGGCTCTAATGATTTGAATTAAATTCATCATATCAGTGTAAAATTAAGCAGTTTTAAATAAAATGTAGTTTTTATTCTAATTGATGTTCTCTAACAGGGTTTGTTTTTAACTTCCAATTTTCTTTATTAGCTTTCCCTAAAGTACCCTTTTTTTATTTTAAACAACTGGCCATTTCACATTTATCTTTATATAAAATATAGTATATTATTGTATGGGATGTGTGGAGAGAATCGACGGTAGGGGAGTCTGGCCCATCGTGTAACAAACTTTTCCCGACTACCGTCTACCGTTTCAGTCAATGTTTAAGAAAAACCTCGGAATTCTCTGGAATAGATACAAAATGGAGCTACGTAATTCTTCGGTTCAAAACTGAAAGAACACTATTGTGAAAAAATCGAAATGGGTAAATTTTGAAAGTTCGACATTTCGCTTCCTTTTGAGTTTAGAAAAAAAAATGTTAGGTAATTTTAAGTTGCTTAAGATTGGATATAACCATTTTTTATCTCTGTAAATAAAAAACCGTTCTAAATTTCAATGGTTTTGGGAGCATTGCAGCGAACACACAACGCTTCCAAAGGAGGAAAATTGGATTTTTTACATTCACTGCATTCTTAACAATATAACAAAGAAATTTGAATTACCTGACTATTCGCAAGGAAGCATGCCTAATTTGACTGGACTGTATCAAGAAAACGATTATACCAAGAACGAAAGAAGAACGAAAAACCAAGATTCAATAGATATACGAAAATAACTAAAAAGCAATAACTCAATAAAGGCATTGGTTGAAGTGGAAAAATATCCACAAGGTCTATTGTCTATTGTATCTAATAATAAATTTTATCTTTAAAAAAACTCTTATTGTTACAAACATTTGTAAATGAGTGATAATTATAAAATTTGTTTCTTTAATATTTCTTATCGCTTCAAATTAATTTTATTCGTGACGCAGGAGAACTCAAGTGTCAATTTCTCTTAATAATCATCTC